CCAGCCCGTTCGCGGGATTCGAAACTCGGACCGAACTACCAGTGTTCAGCGACTTTACCGCTCGGCCGCTGGTGGGCTCTATTGTTCTTGTGACGCTAAATCTAGGTGCAAGTGAACGTATGTTGTTTACGTTTTAATTTGCATTTGTTTCGCAGTTATAAATTTATAGCGTAATAGTAGAAAATCTCATAGCGCTTTCGTTTTATGAGTTTAATTAATCGCTGACATTTCACTCTCGCGATTTTTATCACGCATTAATATTTGGATTGATGTTCAAGGCATATTATCTCTCTTTACATAGAGAAAATGATTCAAGCTACAATTAGCTTCGAATATTATGCATTTACTAACCTGTGGATTAAGAGAATTCAAGTGTATAGTTCTTTTTTTAATTGAGCTGAGGAGGACTGGAAGTGTTACAATGAATCTAATGTTTTCTACTTCAGTGCTTGCATTCCTTTGATTTATAAAGTGTAAGATTCAGAATACATATTCTGTATGATCTGGTTATATCCATTGTTAACGTTAAAAATTATATATGAATGAATTGAATATATTCGTTGTGAATAAGATAAATTCATTCTGTTTGCTGAATATTTTTTGTGTAGACGGTGCATTTAAGAATGAGCAGTTATTAAATGTGAAATTTAACAAGCTAAATGTATACGAATCCAAATTAGTAAAGTTCACTTTGAATAAAATTCTGCATTGGCTATTATTATAGAACATCTTTTTTATATGGACTGCAATAATAAGTGCTGACATCTCTCTCTCTCTCTCTCTCTCTCTATATATATATATATATATATAATTGGTATAAATATTTTTCTCTCTTCGCATAGTTTTATGTAAAGATAGCATTTGGGCTCAGATGTTTATCACATATTTCTTTATCTTATTTATCACTTATTAAGTATCATTTCACATGGATATTTTTGCGGAGTATCCTACATGTGTTTGTGTTTATTTCAAATTCTTTCAATCAGGTAGTAAAATCTTCACAATTGCTTACATTTGATTTAACTTCGCAATGAAAATTTTCAGAAGAAATCGACGATGCTTTAATAATTTTGTAGAGAAAATTGCGTGGCAGAATATTTTCAACCACCTTGTTTAAATCTTAAAGCACGCGAAAGGTCATGTGACATGACAGAAATATTACTGGATGCCCACTGGTCCATCCTAGAAGCCACTTCCTCGGTGGCTACACAGATGTGCACTTGTGAAATATGCGAACGGGCTGGCTACATTGGCATTTTCATGGTTTTCCCCATGTTTAACGTGTATACGAGCCAGTTCCCCTTAAACGACCTCCATAAAGGCATCCCTTCCCAGTGCTTAAATTGCACCGGAGCCCGGCTCCGATACTTCTCAATTTTTAAGATAAAATATAATTCTAGCCGGAGCGCACCGGAGCCCTAAATAAGATGAGCTCCGGTACTTCTTTTTATAAAACTGAACGACAATTTCAAGGGAAAAAAAATAGAATTCCTAACGTTTTAATTAAACAATAAGCAGACTTTGCAATACTCTATTTCCCTAGAAATACGAGCTCATGAGAACACGAGACGTTGAAGTAAATTCCCCTCACTCGCATGCGGGAACCTTTCACTTTAAGAAGGGCAATTAATTTGGGGAGTTTGTCTATGAACGCGTAAATTTCTCGCCATGCCATCGTATCTAGTGTATTGTTATCGATGGTTACAGTTAGTTATCCTCGCAGGAAGGAAAATTTGTGTTCTTAAATGTGCGTTAAGTGAGAGCGAGTACAATAAGAGTGATGTACTGAGATAAACTGCTCAAGCACGTCCTATATATCGTCTTCCTAATGGTATCCACTAATGTAACCAAATACGGGGTGGGGAGCGAAAAGCCTTAACCAGCAACTTTACATTTCATCCTTAGGAGTCAGATTCAGGACTCCTTTTACCCCTGACACACATCCGCTTGATGGCTCTAATTATATCAGCAAAGAGCCGCGGTCAAAGAGAACGTTCTCTCTCACCAAGATTCCCCTCATTTTTTGTTTCCACCCACTCATACCCTCATTATCTGAATTTTCATCAGCTATATTTTAAGTATATTTAATTTTTGTGATGATAAAAGAACTCCGCCCCCCTACGATCAGAGCTTAAATTGCGCTCACCGGATCCCTGCTCCGATGCTTCTTAGTTTTTGTAATTAAATGGTAATTCTAGCCGGAGCGCCCTAAAATAAAAAGGTTGCGGCACTTCTTTTATGTAACTGAATAACAGTTTCAGTAGAAATTTTATCTCGAAAATTTTATTTTTAGCAATAAAATTATATTAAAAATCGCTTATTAAATTTTAATTTATCTCTTTACATTCAAATCAATTTTAATTATTTAATAATTATTTAATAATTATTGATTAAATAACAATTTATAAACATTAATTAAATAGCTATTAATTGATTTGACTGTTTAATTAACTGTTTAATTTTAAAATTATTAATGAGTTTAATAGTCATTTTATTTATTTATTTACTCTTGTTCCTTTTTGCTGACGGTCTTCCCTAGGGCTCCGGCACTTCTAATCTTAGAAATTAAGCCCTGTCCCTTCCTTTAGGCAGATAGTCCTTGAAGCTTTGCTATAATCACATAAACCAAACCAAACCTCCCACCAAAAGAAGATACATGCACCATCTTAATACTTCCACCAAGATAACGTATTCTGAATTTGAATCACAAGCACTTTTTATTATATGTACTTCTAAAATTAAAAAAAAAAAAATACAGTTTTTACTTTATGTGCTTCTAAATTTAAAAACAAAATGCAGCTTTTACGTTATGTGCTTCTAAATTAGAAAAGCCATTTGAATATTTTTTATGTATTGCTTTTGTTGCGATGAAATGTGATTGAATTAGATACACATCCTCTTTTTTAAACACAAAACTTGTATTAAATAATTGCACAATATAAGTATAAACAAGAAAATGACATATAAAACTTGCAAATGCGAGAACAGAACAAAAATAATGAAAAAAAGACAGCATTCCAGCTGCCTTGCGAATGTGATCGGCTGAGTCCGACAGTTCAACTGAATTAATTTTGAATTAATGTTCTTTGGCATACTGCTAAAAGCGAAACAGAGTCAGGTTTAGTTGTTCTGTTCTGGTGCACCGATATAGTTTTATTTCCAATAATTTCAATGTTTAATCGAAAGCGCATCTTTAGGTTTTCAACAAAATCGCAATCTAGGGAATTTAAGCTGATTCGGAAGTGCGAAAAATACCGTTGATTCTACATGTTCAAAAAGAGGGCTATTAATTTAAAGTTAAATTATATATTACAGCTAAATATCTTATAAAAGAAAAAATATAGTTTCTAGTCACCAAAGGCAAATTTTCTTTCAGAAATCGCCATGCTTTCAGAAATCTTTTCTTTCGACAGGCCGGCCCACCAACGGCAACGGCCGAGCGGTAAAGTTGCTGAACACTGGTAATTCGGTCTGAGGTTAGAATCCTGGAGAACGGGTTGGCTGCTTGGATGTAACGTGTATGCGAGCCAGTTTCCCTTTGAGAGTCGTCCGTCGTCCACGGAGGCATCCCTTCCCTTACACAGATAGTCCTCGAGTGCTTTGCCATCATTAAATTAATAAAATTAAATCTGGACAAAGAAATGCTTCTTTTACAAACTATTGCCGTCTGCCCTTTGAAATTAATTATAATCAAATTATTTATGCTTTATGTACAGGATGTAACGGAATTGATGATCACAACTCCAAGGGGTGACAAAAGTAGTAAAAGCAAAAATTTTTTAACACAATATGTGCTGGAATGTTAAATATGAACTCGAAGGCGCAGCGAGTACAAAAATTATGGAGGGCGAAAAGCCATTTTAATCAAGAATCTTTAAGAAATAGGGTTTTACAAGAATTGTTCAAATGAATGACCACAAACTGCAATGCGTGCATCCCAGAACGAGACAGAATTATTGGCGTGCATATTATGTACCAATAGCTGCGAGGTTATTTCTGGCGAGTCAGGAGAATCCGTTCGCATCTTATAAACGAGATATAAATTAAGTTCTCAGCTACAACTGCAATGATGCTTTACAAGGTTATTTGATTTAACCCTACAATACAGTGCGCGCTTCTAATGCTAGATATGAGGGAAGAGGACATGAGACAATACCAATTAAATTTCTGATAGAATGATAGCCGTCAACTTTATTTTATTTGTACTCTAAATTTAGTTTATAGTCAGTGTATTCATTAACACGTTAAGTATGTACTAATTCTATATCGCTTAAATCATTACGGTATGATATATCTTTTTGCAATAAAAAACATGACTTCCAGATTTCTTTATTCTGGACTAATTTTCAAAGATTCAATTTCCATCAGTTTTAGACATCTTTGTATTTTAAGTTACTACCTATTGGCAACTTTACCTGTTCTGGTGTATCTTTCGTCTTTTTATTCGTAATTTTACATTTTCGTTCCATCGGTCTGTCCTAACAGATTTTCAAAAATGCATTTTGAAAGTTTGGAAAGTAGACAAATATCGATGTATCATAAAAGCTCGTTATTTTCTAGAACTGTTTCACTATTTGCGCATAGAATATTAGAAGCTAAGTTTTTCACTGTTATGTGTTTCCGTGAGCAGACTTAAATATAAATTATATATTTCTAAAAGTAATATTTCTAGGTTAGAAAACCTTCATTGTAAGGCATCCTCTTCTGAGGCAGATAAGCTTTGCCATAATCAATTACTAATATGCTCTAACTTCTGCTTTAAATAGATAATTTGACCATTTTGACAAATAATATTGCATAACTGTTCCTTTCAGTGTAAAAAATGGTTAAAACCAAATGAAATTGTATTATTGAGATATTTGAATACTTTTATTTCACGAACCTTCATATTTCTACTATGAATTGAAGTTATAGCGAAAATGTGTTCGAATTCTTATAACTCTTCTCTCTTACACTGCTTTTTTTTTTTTTTTTTTTTTTTTTTTTTTCTTTTTGCACAGAAAGAAAAAATAAACCCAGTTATAAAAGAAAACTCATTTGGAATGGATAGGCCACTTTTTTCAGGTAGTTTGTAAATATTTGGCTGACTCTCGAGTGATTATTCCTTTACGTTTATTTTTTCTAGTACTGATGTTTTTTCAAATATTTGTATATATTGTTTCCTAAATACAGATGGAAGGAAAAACACCATTTTATGAATAATTATTAGTGCTTGAATATAGAAAAACACTTCATAGCTTATCTGCTATGGTCAGCAAAGGCTTCATGAAATGCTTTCTAAGATGAATTAAATAGTTATGCTGCACATAAGGAAAAGAGCGAAAACCTCATGCAGCCCCGAAAATCCCGTTCAGTTAGGAAATAGACTTTATTATGGGAATGAAATTTACAAATTTTTAAGTTCGATTTTAAATGGCTGATAACTCAAGATAGCAGAATTCTTTTATACCGTAACTAGCCACTATGCGGCCAGCCTTCGTCTGACTTTTAAATGTACCGAAAAAATGCCTAAAGGGAACACCAAACATTAAATTTAAAAACTGCACAGAAATTTACTCTGCAGAATAACTTTATAATAAACTGCAAATTTTAATAAAAATGTATTACATATAAAAAAATTACAATGAAATAAGTAATATCTCTTAATACAAATATTAATTATCCTAACAAATAAATTAATCATCTTGCCGTTTCCTTCTCTCAACAAACGTCCATTATCCAAGAGAAACATTAAATTAAAAAACTGCACAGAATTATCGCCCTCATTTTTCCGAGTGACAACAGCGCTGATGTCAGCAACAATGGCAACAGTTATATATTAAAAATGAGAATTATCGCCCTCATTTTTCCGAGTGACAACAGCGCTGATATCAGCAACAATGGCAACAGTTATATATCAGCAACAATGGCGCGCCATTTTTGCTGATATAATTAGAGAGAATTATCGATTCGATGCGATTTCATCAATAAACATAAAAAAAAAAAAAAACTCGTTCGAATTTTGAAAAAAAATCCCTTTGAGGTGCACTGGCTCTTGTCTAGATGCACCTTATATGTACCAAATTTCGAACCGTGGGTCTATTAGCTTACGCGCAGCACGAAAGAAGGACACGCAGACAGACTGTTCCTTTTATTATATGTAGAGATAAGACTTTTTTAGAAATTTCTTGTTATAAGAACATAAATAAGGAAAACGTTATGGAATCTGCTCCGCCACTTAACTTTTAATAATACACCGCATAATTTAAAATAAAAATATTGTTAGTTTACTTTTAATACATTGCATAATTTAAAATTAATACATTTATTAAATACTGTTTTCTAAAATAGGTTTTATTACTGCATTAGCAACAATATTCCATTATTAAAATTTTTTTTCAGTAAGGGAGAGTATCTGATACTGAGATTGAATTAAGAAAATACTTTTATTCTCCATCTATTATTAAGGTATAAACAAAACGCTAATAAATACAATTTTCAGACATTCAAAGTAATAATTCTCAAATGAAATTATGCTTTTCAAATTATATTTCTTTGATTACAGGAAAGGCTATTTCGACTTTGGAACCTGATCGTTATTTCACAGAAGACATGAATAATAAAGAAAGCGAAAGGATCCCCCTGTAAGCACTTTTATTTCATAAAATATTTTGATAAATGTATATTTATACTGTTACAAAGAATATTTGGATGCGTAATTAATAAAAATTTTTAATTATGAAAGATATTTTTAGCAGTATGAACCTGAATAAAACCTATTTGGAAGTACACAATTCTACAAAAATTCGTTATCGTATGAAAACATTTAACAAAATTCACTAAGTTATTATTAGAATTAAACTAGTTTCAGGTTGAATTTCTAAATCAAAGTATTCGGATACCCGACAAAGATGAGCTAAAATTTTTATTTCGTTTTATATTAAATTACTTAGATCTTAGTTAGCGTTACCTTACTTTCATGTTGTCTAACTTTATTAGGAATTAAATCTATTAATATTTGCAAAACATATCATTCATCACAAGCATTGAGTTATCAAAATGTAGGGGCCGCGCACATAAAACTTATTCGTTCTAATAAATCTGCTTAAACTAATGCTGTAAGAGTGTTGTACTTGCAAAAGTTGCAGTACAGTTAAAAAGGGCAGCGTCCGTTGATCCCTCTATGCACTGATGCTCTTTTCGGCACTCAGCTATCGAAAACTATTAAATATAATTTTCAGAGGTTTACAACATTGGTTACTGAATTACATTTACACATTGCTAATACATACTTTTACCTTGCAGTGAGTTAATTTTTAGTGCATGTTACTTATGCAATAGCTCAATTGAAATTGAATTTTTTATGTATTCAGTAGTCAGTATATTCAGTTACAAACTCGACGTGCGCAAAATATATTCAGTAGTGCATTGCAGGTTAGTGGTGTATTTCTATAGTGGACAGATATGAAGCAGTGTACTTTTTTTACACGTTGGAAGTGCATTTACAGAGTACTCATTGCATGGTGTATGTTTCTGGGTGATGATGATCAGGAATGATCTTTATATGCGAGTAATGAGTTACAATACATACTGTCTAGCTTTGGTCGTATAAGTTGTTTGAAATGTCATTGATTTTATTTGACATTTTTATTGCTCTTGGGTGCGTTGTATGTTCTCGGTAAACATGGAACTCGGCGTTTTCACATCATGCGCTGCACCTCACGAGAAATGGTGATTTCGTATTTGATGGCATTCAAATAATATGAGAGGTGACCTGGTCCACCGCATGCTGAATTCATGTTGTTTTTGAATCCAAACCTGTACAGGGGGAGATGCAGTGTTTCTTATATAGCTGCGCGGTTCCTGACCACATTTTGAACAACACTATCGATTTTGGGGCGATGAAACATGTTTTTTTTTTTTTTTTTAACCAAATTTTAAGTTGGATCATTGCGTTTTTAGTTCCGGTGCCACGAGCGGAATGTAGGTCCACCAGCAACTGAATAGTTGCCGAACACTGGTAGTTCAGTCCAAGGTTCGAATTCCGGCGAACAGTCTGACTGCATGGGCGTTTTCATGGTTTTCCCCATGCGTAGGGTGTGCGCCGAAAACATCGCGGAGAAAACAACGCAAGGAGAAAACGTCGTGGTACAAAATATCGTGGGAGAAAGAAAGCGGTTTAAAAACTTCGCAGTTTAAAAGCATCGTCGTCGAAAATATCATGGTAAAAAATAAAGCACCTATAAATCATCGCATGAAGATAACATTGCACACATGCTTTTTTCAGGTTTTAAAAGCTGTAAATGTATTTTCGCATAATGTTTGGTAGCGCAAGAAGGAAAGCGAGATATTTTTACCTTTTTATTTTATAGTTTGGAATAAACTAAATTTTTGCTGAAAATTAAGAAGGAAATTTAGGAAGGAGCATTTAAAAATTTAAATTTAATAGAAAATGAATGAAACAGCACTTTAGAGAATTTTAAATTATTAGTTAATTAACAAAGATCATTACTAAATTAATCTTTTATAAAGTTTTACTTATAATATTTCATGAAAAATACAGTATAAAAATGTTTAAAAAAAGGAAGATAAATAACTGTGTGAGGTTACCTCTATAAAAGGTGCTTAGTTAATTATCAAATTACTTTCTTTCACGTTCGTTAATCTGATATTGTTTTGATGAAAATTATATATTCTTTAGTTTCCGTTTATTCTTCAAGTGCCGTTAACATTTCTTCCGCTTCCAAATCTTTATGCGAATATGCATTTACAACTTTTAAAACCTGAGAAAAGAATATGTCAGATGATTTGTAGGTGCTTTATTTTTTACCACGATAATTTCGACGACGATGTTTTTAAACTGCGAAGTTTTTAAACCGCTTTATTTTCGACAGCGATATTTTGTACCGCGATGTTTTCTCTTTGCTTTCTTTTCTCCTACGATGTTTTGTGTACGCCTTGCGTTTATTATTATTATTATTTTTTGCGATGTTTTTGCCATGAAGTTTTCGGCTTTAACTCCTTTTTTGAATATCTGAGATCTTGATTTAATATTAATTCTGTGGACAACTTACGTATAGAACCTGGATGGAGGGACCTGGATGTAGCCGAGTGATTAAGACTACTAATCTCTGATAGTTCAATCCCTGCTCAAATCCCAATGAACAAGCTGTCTACATGGGTATTTTCGCAGGTTTCTTGATGTGTAACGTAAATACGAGCCAAATTCCCTTTAAAACAAATCTTCCATGAAGACATTCTTTCCCTTTCTAATGTCATTTTCCACAGTTTATTCAGTTCAATCTCAGTTGTGATGAAGAGGAGAAAAAGCAGCACACCATGCAGACGCTAATTCGGCTATACACACTTTAATCATTACATTGAATATATTTATGTTGTTTTAAGAGAGGAGTCTTTTTCCGATGTTTATGAGATTAGATGTCATACATGTAGAGAAAGTAATTATAAATGATTGTTTACTGTTGTATTGACCAAATTACAGAACTATACGCACAAAATAGCAATACCTTGTTGTCGCATCATTCACGAATATAAAACAACTAAAACTTTATTGAACTTGAAATTATAGTATGATGCAGAAATCATTTAAAATTTTTCCTGTTCGTGAACTGGAAGGATTGCCAACGGATTGATCACGAACGCTGTCTGATCCACCGGGTTGCATTCATAAATTCTTATTCTGAATAACCTGCCTGACAGAGAAAATGCCACATAATTAAAAATCAAATGCACTGGCATGCATATTTCTGTGGAAGTGTACACATAATACAAATGATTGCATTTTCAAGCTAATAAGACGATTAGTACACTTAATATAAGCATCCAAGCTGAAAATTTCCAGCCCCCTCACGGCTATAATGCGGAGATTTTTTGCTACTTCCAAATGTAAAGGACAAAGAAATTAGGTAATCTGAATATGGTGAAACACACAAAAGTAATCTGCCAGAGAAGAGAGATGCCTTTTTGGAAGACAGAACAAACTTGCTTTTATTAAATTACACATAAGAATACAAGGTAATACTTATAAAACATTCTATTTTTATCTGCAAATGGACAAGTTCACTGGGGCTTCTTGGAGGGCCTTAATGCTGTTAGTAATTCTTTGGGCGTCATATTACGGAGGAAACGAAGGTTGTTGTCATAATTATAGGTCGGATTTGGCAGCAATGACCCAAAAAAGACTGCAACGGCATAGAGGTCAAAAGCAATGACAAGGACGTTAGGGGACAATAATCATCATTATATGACGTAACGTCGTACCTGCCCCACTGTAAAAAACTAGACATTTTGCCAAGTGTTATCACAGGTCCCAGATCAACGCGGATAGTTTCGCAAAAATTACCTGACGAGGAGCTGGTATCCAGTCTTCCTTTACGAAAGTCGTAAAAGCTTGATGGTGTCGCAGTAGAGTTGCATGGATACCGAAGGAAACACTATAGTACTTAGCATCAAATCTCCCTTTTCCATTTATTCAAATAATCGGCGATGATTATTTTTCCAAATCATCGGCAAGTGTGGAGATGAAGTGGTGATCACCATTTTCGAGAGGCACACGGTCCGTCAATGGAGAATGTTTTTTTTTTTTTTTTTTTTTCTTTCTTATTACGTGCCCACCCTTAAGCACTAGACGGAAAGGGAAGGATGCCTCCTGGAGGTTCTTTTAAGGGAAACTGGCTCGTATCCACGTTACACATGGGGAAAACCACGAAAACGCCCATGCAGCCAGCCCGTTCGCCGGGACTCGAACCCCGGACCGAACTACCAGTGTTCAGCGGCTTTTATTTTTTTTGTTCGGCCGCTGGTGGGCCCAAAGTAATGGTTTAGAGTGTCATTAGTGCTAAAAGCCATTCATCTCTAATGTGTAATACATACACATTGATGGGTACCCACTTTATTGAGAACATACTGCGGCTCCATCTTCCGTATTTTCAGGGCACTCCAAAGCCATTTTTCAACAAAATATCGCTCGGCCATGCACTATTGCCCTAAGCCTGAATGGACTGCAGTTTGCAAGTGCTCCTTCGGTAATTTCTATCTCTCATCGCTCACTAACTAAGCATTTGTGGAACATCATCTCCTCCTTCGCGAAACGAAAATGTACTGGAGGATCACATCAGCAACGCATAGTGCACAATATTACAGGGTATGTTTCGGATATTCATTGGTTAGATGCAATGACGTGTTTAAAAATGGATTGCCGGGAATGGCCATGCAGTATCTTATTTATGCCTTGCATGTCAAGTGTCGTATTAGCTATAGTATATCTTCGAAAATAAAATTACTTTTTAAGTGATGGATAATCTATCTATAATCTTGATTATTTGTTTGTTAAAGTTTGATCTGTTGCTAACAATTTTTTTCATGATGACGCATTTTCGTGTTAGGCGGTATAGTTGTTTATCTGATCACGAATTAGTGTTAATAATGTTTATTTAGCAACCATTTTCAATGAAGAAGCTGCGCTATTGAAGGCATTTTTGGATAACTCGACGAACATTTTATTACATTGAATAACGATATTACTTTGAACAAAAATAAATCAATTTACTTTTCGAAAATATTTCCCTGTAACAGAAATAATCTATAATACCGGAAACATCGCCCCTTGATTTCGAAATATTTTCGGTATTAGTTATTTTTGGAATTATGATGGTGAATAAATTAGCTAATAGGAAACATGACATTTTGTCATTTGTGTGCGTTTTTTAATTTCAGGACTTTAAGTGATAATCATTCAGGTACTTATGAATCTTTTGTGTCGCGAGACAACTCTATTATCTATTGCTGCCATGGTAATGCCGCAGATGAATGCTGCAATAACGTGAACGGTAAATTGCCAGATATGTCCCCAAACTCCAGACGAGAAAGCATTTTGGTAAGCTCTTGAAAATTCCGTCTTTCATTGCAATAAAATTTACAGTTTTTATTTGATGATTATGTGACTGGTTGTTTTATCACCTTACTAGACAGATTCTCATTGCCATGATGAAAACGAGGTAGGAGTCGATAAAGTTGCTCGACGTCGATTAGTGCTAGCTAGTGTTCTTTGTTTGCTTTTCATGGTAGGCGAAGCCGTTGGTAAGTCCTTTTAATGCTTTTAGTTTCTGTATATCTAATTCATGAGATATCTGTTCTAAAACATTGTTTTGTTGTGCATTTAGGTGGCATTTTAGCAAACTCGTTGGCCATCGCCACAGATGCTGCGCATTTACTAACGGATTTCGCAAGTTTCATGATAAGTTTGATGGCCATATGGGTAGCATCAAGACCAGCAACTAAGCGTATGAGCTTCGGATGGTACAGAGCTGGTAATATGATATTCTGAAGGTTTTTTTTTTTTTTTTTAATGTAACAATTGCATTTACGTTTCGGATTTGCATGATATGCTTATTTTATAACATGCATTATATGGATTTAGCATCGCATATTATATAGCATCAAGTAATGTTTCTATTGCCTTTTATGTGTATTACCATTATACCTGGAAAGCATCTGTGAGGCAATTCTGAGCCAATTACTGACGAAACAATGTAATAATGTCTCTTTAATTTACAGGAATTACAATTCTTAAACCTTGACTTTAAAAATCAAATTCATTAATTTTTAAATCTTAATTATTATTTAGTCCTTTCCGTAGGTAATTCCAAAAACTTAGAATACACCAACATTTCAATTGCAAATACAACTTTCAAAGTAAATAAGATTTACTGCTAAGTGAAAATATTTTTTTTACACATAATGGATAACGTAATAGATAGGTTTGTGACAATTATGCAGAACTGAAAAGCAATTCTTTAAAACTGAAGCAAATTAAACCTTTTAAATAAACAACTTCAGTTTTTTTATCTAAATATGTTAAAAATTCTGGAATCATTTTAATTATTTCAAAGATGAAAGAAAGCCATTCAATTGCTTAATATTTTAGCCCCGATAAAACTTCAGATTTCATAGCACTAAATTCATTAAGATAGTATTTTATTTGTGTATGAGTGTATATTATGCCATTCTTCTTGCAGTATTGTTTCAAATGACATTTAATAATGATTTTGGTAACCTCGAAGTGGACGAATGGTTGAGACCGCTGAATATTTCGTAGTTCATCTTGGCTTCGAACCCAGCCAAATGAGTTAGCTGCATGCTTGGTTTTTTGTGGTTTTTCCATGTGTAATATAAATGCGAGCCACTTTCCCTTTCAAAGTCATCCACGAAGGCATCCTCCGCCTTCAGCAGATAACCATAGTGAGTTTTGCCATATTCCAATAATCATGATTTTGTGCTTTTATACATATTTTTAATTTAGACGACTAAATAACATTGCTAGGATAGTCTAGGAACTGGAAAGGGTTTGAATAGTTCCTGCTTACATTTGTAATTGAAACTTTGTGCTCCATTTCGTCATCTTATTGGAATATGAAATTTCCCTCAGAGCCGAACATGATAGCACATCCTCTGATGTTTATGTTCATCGTATCGAAATAAATCGCACTGTTCGTGATGGATACACGCTTTCATATTTTGCTTGCGACTATACATCCTTGTGCGGATCACAAGGGGCAAGTGCTAGATCAATGAATGCTGGTACCCAGGTTCAGATCCCAGCGAGCAGGCTAGTTGCATGGAAGGTTTCATAGATTTTTCCCATGTGTAACGTGAATAGGAGCCAGTTTCCCTTAAAAATTCCTCCACGAAGGTATTTCTTCCCTTAGGCAGATAACCTTCGTATGCTTTATCATAATCCAAATAACTTAACCTCATGTATCCTCGCGCCACCTCTTGTCATCCTACTCTGAAATTAAATAACTTGGTTAAATAACTGCTTTCGGTTATCTTCAGACAATCGACATTTATCTTTACAAACAGTATTAAATTCCATCTCGTGCGCTAAGAGTTATTCTATTTCTAATATTTTGTATTTTTAGGGGGCTTAGCAACGTCTAAAACTTTATATCTGTATATTACATCCATATATTATCAAAACTGTTTCACATTTGCCGTGGCCTGCTAGATCATCGGACATGAATCCCATAGAGCATGTGTGGGATATGTTGGGATGAGGTCGTCGGGGGGCATGTTGGGACAAGTCGCGGTGTGCTGCAAGAACCCATCAAAGACACTATTAACAGCTTACCTTCCATTTCAGCTGGAGAATATCGTACCATTATTAGCGTGATGTTTCCATTGTACACTCTTCCAACCCATTCGGTCTTTAATACATGTGATCGTGATTTCATGTTCGTAATACGTGTAACGTGTATTTTTATATGTCTTTGCTATGTGATCTAATAAAGCCACACCAACCTCACTCATATACATGTGCGTGTGTATATACAGGGTGTTTCACTATCACATTTTAGAACTTCTAGCAGGGATAAGGTGCACCCGATGATTCGGAATCATATTAGCAATGCAGGGTCGGAAATACTTTCCTGACGCGATGGTGTACACAGAAACATCAGACATTAAAAGACGCCAGTTAAGTTAATATTCGTCTTAATAATAAATTTAAATGAACAAAAGTAACTTAAAAGAATGCTCGAAGTTTCGTCCTCCGACTTCATTGCACGCCTCGCATCTACGGCGCATGAAATTCCAAATATTCCGGAATAATCAAGACATATCTCAAATTTTCCCGGCAGCTACTGCGATTCGTGTAACCAGCTTCTCGGCGTTGTCAACTAAGGTGTCATAAACCAGTGTCTTCATATGCCCCCGTGGAAAGAAAACAAGACATGATTGGTCCGATGATTGAGCAGGCCAACATACTGGACCATCACTACCGATCCACTGTTGGCCAAATCTTGGTGGATTCGGACGTTATGGCTGAAATGGGCAGTTGCCCCCTCGTGTTGCAACCACATTGTCTGTCGCATCGATGCAGAAATCTTTTCTTCATTTAAAAGCTGTTGCATGACTTGCTGCTGAAAGTTTGAGTAGTTACAACCGGTTAGACGAAAAGGCAACAGGCAAGGTCCGATGAGGTTCCCCCACAATGCCGGCCCAAATATTAACCGAAAACCGACCTCTTCGCTGCAGGACGTCTTGTTGTATGAGGGTTCTCTTCCGCCCAGAGATGGTAGCACACTTTTCAAGATAACCATTGTACAAAAGAAATACGAGGTGCATAATCGCTCGGTTGAAGTGCATGGATACTCTGCACGTGATATGGATCAATTTCGTTTTCTCTCAGAATTCGAAACTTGAACGGGAAACCCCAACTGCGTGGACTAAATTTCGCGTACTCAAACGTGGAGTCCCCACAACCTGATATAGAACATTCTCCTCGATTGTTCGGAGTCCGTGTTGATCATGCCGGATTCATGGCAGCTCTTTGAAAGGAACCTGTCTCCGGTGCAGCATTGCAAAGAAATCACTGGGTGTACACCTCATTGCAAGCGCTGTGAGGTTGGCCCACTACAATCTGCAGCCCTGTATGCATGTCGGCTAACTCTGCGTTCTTGTATAGGCTAACTCTGCGTCCTTACGATTTCTTGCAAGAACTCTCGGAACTTTCGTGCAACATCATCTAACGCTTCAGAATTCTATACGTTTCTATAACATTGCAATACGATTCCGGGTAGTTAGGATGCACAATACTCCTCCTAGAAGTTCTGAAATGTGGTACTGAGGCACCCTGTATATATCTACATACATACGTGTGTGTATTTGATTACACGCTTGCAGGCATCATTTTTGGAATTAATAAAAATTAAAAATGATCCTCTCCAGAAACTTGCTCCATACCTGATAAATTCCTTTTGAACTGGAAGCTTCATTACATACTGTAAGTATCGCTTTGCTCCGTTCATGCTGTCGTGGTGTAAATGATTAATATAATCAGTTAACAGTGGAAAATTCTGTCCCTGTTTCAAGCAATTTTTATTACTTTTAAATGATAGTCCTTTCATTTTCGTGCATTTCTAATTAGTCTAATTGTAGAATTACGTTTTTGTTTAAATTTCTAGACAACCTGCTAAGAGTGTAACATGAATTATAGTTTTTGAATATTGTAATTATTGGAATACAACGATATTCTAGAAATAGACTGCTTAAGCTGCCATTATTTACATAAATCATTCATTAAAAAGAAAAAATGTTTTATCACATAAAGGAAAATGTTTTGGAGAAAGCGAAAGAAGTTCATTCATATGTTATCAAGCATTCTTTGTTATTTATGATTAATTCATTTTTTCTACACTTTTTCCACAGAGGTGATTGGAGCTCTGACGTCTGTGCTCTTAATATGGGTGGTTACGGGTGTCCTTGTATATATGGCAGCTCAGAGAATAATAAATGAAGAGTATGAAATTGATGCTGAAATAATGCTTATTACAGCGGCTGTTGGCGTTGGCGTTAATGTAATGTAAGTAATCCATATGGCTTTTCACATCCTTTTTTTATGATAAAAACCGTCTGAGTGACATTAAATTTAAATAAAATAAAAGCTTTTTTAGAACATAATATTACTGTAAGAAATGTCTGCAATGGAATATCCGATTTTCAGGCTGTTGCGTTATGCAAACAAGAAATTTATCATCCACGCGAAATGGCAAGTTTCGCCGATGTAGGAGACATAAGACTTTTTTTCCCTCATAAATTGGTATAAAGCTGATTCTCAAAGAATTGCCTTTCGATGTGGAATTTTTCCTCTCGGATTTTTTACTTGTAGTTTCTTTACAACCGAGCAATTAAAAAGCAATAAATGGCTTTCTTGATAACTATTTTATTTTTTAATAATACATCAAATTGGTGTGATTTATAATAATTTAATTGATATAATATACCCAAATAATATACTCAAATAATTACTAATGTCGAAGGTGTGAAATGAAAACACTGACTGAAAGCAAATATTGCTAACCGCAACTGATAAGTAAAATAAAAAATAATGAAACCCATAAATAAATGCATGTAAATTAATATACATCTTTATTTACCGTGCCTTAGTTATTACTTTATTTGTTTATCATATACCTTTGTTTATCATTTTGAATTTTCATTTCAAGAATTGATCAACTAGGGGCTTCAAAAATAGCATTTTGAAATTCTTGAAAATTGCAAAATGGTGCTGCATCCCCAAATGTTACATTTTAAACAGTTTTATCTGCTTATTTATAGCTTTTTATTAGATTTTTTATTTCTTCTCCGAGTAGATTCACATTTTTGTTTCAAAGAATACTTCGAGCTCAACATTGGTTGACCTTCCTTGCGAGTTATTTCACAGGATGATTGATATATTGCGTGAACATAATTATGTCAAATGTATGAACGCTAAATATGTTTCAAGGCAGATCTTTCCCATAATTAATTTACAACAAAAATATCTGAAATTCAATCAAGATTTCCACAGTGTACTTAAATTTTTGAAATATATTTTTTAATTATCGTGTTTTTGTTAGACACGTTTAGAGCTTATTCTTTCTTTTTCGTTTTGCATTACGCTTCCAGGGCATTTTTTATTTAAGGGAGCTGGCAATTGTTGCTTATATCTGAGGCATAAAAGATCTTTAGTTTATTATCCAAGTGACCTGGCAATTAGCCAGTTCTTAGAGATGTCGCCACTCGAAGTGGCATAAGATCTTAAACTTTCAAATTAAAATAATGCATTTCTTAACTGAGCGATTTAAAAACAATACACACAGTTTTTAATATTTTCTTTTACTTTATTTTTTATGATATATATGATGTAATTTATAACACAGTTAATTCATGAAATACATAATATAGCAGCTAACAATTTTCATGTGCATTTCAACTATTTTAATAAAATCAAGATGTTTTCTAACACTGTGTATTGCTTATTTCAACACAGAATAATCGCTTGCTCGCCGCCTAGCATTCAATATTTATTTGTGTAATCGTTTTAACAACAACTTAAGATGATTAAAAAAGTTTAAAAAATAAAGCCATGAGTATAATAGTTAGTCTCCTGTGAGTTTGTTAAAACTATCTTTTTAGCAAAGCCTGATTTTTCTGCTAGCATGATGTTTAGGGGCGGTTGATTGTACAATCAATTAAAATCCGAAACAAGGCATGGACATTTGTGACTGTAGTCTGTTGATGAATTGGGGGCAATTAAAATCTCTTGATACGAAAGCTTTCTCGAAACGTTGGTGTAGAGGAAACGAGTACGGAACCCTTGAGTACATTGGATACTCTCGGACAAAACTGGGAGGAAGTTTAGGTAAATAACCTTTATGTATTTTTGCTTAAACTAAATCTTGTATTAGGAAAGTATCGATAAAAATGCTGTTGTTTCCGGTAAACTAGACTACATTGGACTATTATTATTTTGATTTAATTACGCCATTGCTATATAATTGTCAAAATTTAATGTTAAAGTTTAAAATATGAAGAATTACCCTTTTCCGAAACTAAAAATGTGTTTGAAAGAATTATATTCCAGTTAAGAGAGAATGGTCAGTTTTATATAGTAAAATGTTTCATCCCTCCTCTTCCTTCCTAACCAATATATATAATGACTTATACAGATTTATAGACATTGGTATTTCACCTGTACAGAATTTATTGAAGTCCCCGTATCGCTACACTGGAGAGCCACGGACAACAATATCAGTGTAGCTGTGGTATTAGCTGCTGCGGTCTTGTCAACACTGCTTTCTTGACTAATATGTTGAAGGGCATTCTTCTTTACACATCTTTCAAATGTGGTTAATACCTCAGCTTCATGATAAAAGAATCGTTGATCATGTATGGGTACAGCATGACTAGGCTCTATCCCATCTTGCTTTTCATGTGTGCGATTTCGTTGACGAATAATTTCCAGTGCACTGGATCGGATGTTTTTCTTAAACATCTTTATCTCCATTGAAACGGCCGGCAGAAGGCCTGGATCTTTCAGCACCAGACAATTCATTGTGCAGAATAATTAAGCATGTTTTCCAACGTCGGTACAGGACAGATGAAGAACTGCGCTAATCTGTGAATGAAGCTTCTCAAAGATAACGGCTCGGATGCTTCGCAACGTATCAAGGACATGGAAACGCATACATTTGTGTGTACTGCACAATGGAGCAAGTACCGATCCACTGGATGCATAGTTCATATATATATATCAATAAAATATTCTGAATAATCTGAAATTAGTACTTACGCATTAACACAACCACCCTAATATAATCTAGCAATTTTTTTCAGATGAAAAGATGAAAGTTACTTATCGGGTGCAAGTTGGTGTTTTCGCGACTTTTTTTTTTTTTTTTTTTTTTTTAAGATCCCAAGCTGTTGATATTTATCATAAACCGGCAAACTTCATATATAAATATATATATATGTAAAATATAAAAAATAGAACAGCTTTGCTCTATGCGAACAAGCAACCTCTAATTAACTTTTCGCAATTTCAGATCTTTTCCCTAGACCAGTATTTTCCAGAACATTCGAGCCTATTACGTAACCGCTTCTATAAATAGAGAATTCGCGCCATTTTGCGTCAGAGAGAGAGATCGCATTCTTCCTCTGCTGCTAAGATCTGTGCCGCTGCTCTTCTGCCTTTTCTCTGTTAGAATATTATGACTCACTGAAATTAATTTATATAGTAAAGAATGATAATAATATGCCTGAGAATTGAATATAAAGATGTGGAATCAAAACAAGTAATTTCTGTGTCGTCCTTGGATTGAAAAGCTTCACTTATGTGCCCGTCTGCCAAAATATTATATATATATAATGTAAGCATGTATATGTAATAAAAGCACAAGTAAGAACACTGAGATGTAGAAGCGTAGCAATGTTGTTTAGCGTTAGATTCATATTAAAGAGGAAAAAGTCGAGACGGATTAATTTCTTTTTATTTAAATTCATATTTGTGGACACAATTCATTTGGCACTCCAATCCTGCGCATTTCCAGAACATTTATGTTTTTGACACTATGGCGATAGCAACGAGCATACAGAAACATCCACGCAGCGTAGAAGTTAAAGCGAAACGGAACGCATCAGTTCAGAAGACGAAGGGAGTCAAAAGTTTTGGTTTACAATTATTTGATTGTGCAAGAGGTTTCTGCATAGAGCGTTACGTAGGATTGCATTATTAATTTGAATGACTTAGTTTAAACTTAATAAGGGCTATTTTTAAGACGAAGAGAGGAAGTCCCCAAATTCGATAAAAGAGGTTATAGCCAATTATTCAGCAATTCAAATTTTAATTATTAAATACGGACTATACGATACAAAAAAATATTTTCCGCAAAATCATTCGATAATTTTATGTTCTGATCTCCCCGTGCATACAGCCCTCTGTTTCCGCTTAAAAATTAGAGAAACTCACAAACCCGGCATCTTCCGCATTGTTAATAGGTTGCCTACCAGACGCATATCATTATTCCCCCTTTAGCGAATTTGTAATAAAAATACTGTATTCCTGCAGAAATTTTACTACAATTTCTTCTATTGCTGAAAAAATCCACGACCGAATATTTTAAAATTGAATCTCGGGCAACAATAAAAAAAAAAAAAAAAAAAAAAAAAAAAAAAAGAGAGAGAATCACGACTTGTCTGTAAAAGACCTTTCGAACATGGATCAGAAAGAACGTTTAAGAAAATGGCGACGTTGTTTGGCTGAAAGATTGTAACGAGCCAAGTTTCCTAAAGAATGTTTATGCGCATGGTTGCCTGCCAGAGTTTGGCACGTTATGGCAATTTTGCGATTTCTACCAAGGTGGTTACGATAATACTTAAATACACTAAAATTATACTGATACTGCATTTTCTGATACTGAAGTCTCGGAGTACGATAACTTCCAGGACATATGGTAAGTTTATTTCCCTAGGACAAACCAACTGGTTGCAAGATTTCTTTCCCTGCGTGTACCATAGACAAAAGTTTCCTTTCCTAAGTTTTCCACAATAGCATTCTTTTCTTCAGGCAGACAGCCCTCTAATGCTTTGCTTTAATGAATTAATCTCATCTTTGACTGTGGAATAAATTTTAGTTTATTTCTTAAAATAAACTAAAATTTTAAAATCTCTTTAAGATTCTAAAATTTTTTCAAACTTTGTAACGTACCTGAATGTCGTCCTAATTGATATTACAATCACCAGAAACTGGCTACCATTCAAAAGGCTCGAGGTCGAAACCTGGATGAAACAAGGAGGTTCTCAAAGTTATTTCTTTCCATTTGGGCGCGCCCACCAGCGGCTGAGCGGTAAAGTCGCTGAACACTGGTAGTTCGGTCCGAGGTTCGAATCCCGCGAACGGGCTGGCTGCATGGACGTTTTCGTGGTTTTCCCCATGTGTAACGTGTATATGAGCCAGTTTCCGTTAGAAAGTCCTCCACGAAGGCATCCCTTCCCTTAGGCAGATAGCCCTAGTGTGCTTTGCCATAATTAAATAAACCAAACCAAACCACTTGGCCGCACCCCAGATCATTTACTTAGTTTGGTGCATCTTAGGCAGCGTCTGTATGATGGAAGGCTGATACACAATTTTATTGTGTATTTGTTTTGTTTATCGATTAAACATCTGAAAAAAATAGTATGAATTGCTTCGAGCTTACTTCGTATATTTTGACATTTTAATACAATAATAAAATTCAAATTTAAATTCACAATCGACTTCACTTAATAAAATTGTCGATTAATTGAAGGGACTAGTTTATTCTACTCAAATCCTAAAATTTCACTAAACACACTAACTATAGTCTCTTTGCTTGTTAGAGGCAGCCATTCGTTTAATTATACTATCCGTCTGATCAACGAAATACTTTTCATTGGAAAACTCTAATTTTTCTGCATCTAGGAAAGTTACAAAAGGAGTTACATAAGTAATTACAATTAATTTAACATTTACTCATAATAGACCCTTTTCGGTACGATTTGAAGTAACTCATCTTCATTTCCAATAAATTATATAGTTGATAATACTCGCAGTAGTAAAAAATGGAACCTTTTCTTCCATTTCAAAAAATATTCTCCGCTTGAATGCATAAACTCTTTATAGCAAACGCATTATTATGTAGTCATGAGAATATGCGATAGAGAGGAACTCGATGATTTATCACACCCCTTCGCTGTTAACAATGTAGTTATTAGATAATAACATACAGGGTGTCCCAGAAAATGTACTGCATTACATGGTGTATTAGGAAAACTGGTACCGGAAAATGTCTTTATTATTATTACGGACTCCGGCACTATACAGAAAGGGAGAATGGCCCGTGGAGGACTTTACTTTTTAAAGGGAACACGCTCGTATCCACATTACACATGGGGAAAATCACGAAAATGCCCATGCAGCCAAGCCAACACAGTCTCGAAGAATAAGGCGTGAGCACGAGCAGCTAAGTGGTCAGTGACGTCACAATCAGAAGACAGACTCGAGGCAGCCTAAAATGTCTCCCATAAGCTCAGCCCCCCCTATTTTCTATGATTTGCGCGGTTGTACTGAGCTTTCGCTTTCTAAATTCGAATTCTGCCATGCATTTAGAGCCTAATTTTTATCAAAATTTCTGAAAACTTGAGGGAAGTTGATCAGGAATTGTGAACAATTAAAAATATAAATACTGTGTGTAGATTTTGTTTTCTCCAAATGCTTTGGACATTTGGGTCTCAAACAGTATGTGTGTAATTTAAATAAAATATTAAAATACGTGCTAAATAATAAAAACATTAATTTTAATTAATGATGGGTATTCATATAGTTTAAATAATAAGTATATCACAAAAATTAATGAAACAAACAGTGAGAAAATTGCTGATTTGAAAGCGTGATACTACGAGAAACTAGCATGAAAGAGCAATAAGTACTTTAACAGTATTTTCTTTTCTTTATGACGTATATTTTTCATTTATATATTTCGGAGTAAAGAGATTAAAGAATTTTACTGGGAAAATGCAAAATCAAACACTAAATTTGTTTAATTCAGAAAATGCAAAATGTCTTAAACAGTAAATATGTTAAAAAGTTTATTCTAAATCTGGATTTTTAACAGAAGATACTTTGAGGAATTTTTCTAGAATAATGAAACTGCCACTTCAACTGCAAAACAAATCAAACTGGAACTCTCACTACGCAAGATTTCTGTAAGAAAAATGAAGAAATTAAATTATATAGGCAAAAATGGGCATTATTTTGATATATTCATATAAGAGTTTGCAGTATATCACTTAAAATTCGTAATTTTACTGTTGGTGATCCGTTAATCCCTTTTTTGATTTAGTGCTTTTTTTTTTTTTTTTTTTGATAAATTCGCTTTTTGTTTCATTTAGGAAAAGTTAATCTTTAAACGAAGAACGCGATACACTTGCGAATAACTTAAAACAGAAAATTAAATTATAATCAAGCAGAAAACTCTTACTGAATCTGTTAGATGTCAATTACTCTTATAATGCAGTAAAAATTCTTTCTTCCGACTATGAACGATTCTTTTTAAAAGCACAAAATCAGAGATATTTAATTTGTTCAACTACTATTAATCAGTTAATTTCTTCAGAACTGTTTAATCATTTAGACATACGTTTATCAGGGCATTATGCTGCAGACGTTATTAAAAAAAACTGTTTGGGTTTGTTCAAATAGTTAAAAAATTATTTTTGTAGAAGAAATGATGTAATTAAAAAGAACTCTAAAAATCGGAGAGTTCAAATTTTTAAAAATGTCAGCATATTCCTTAACTTAACCATAATGGCCGCATAACGCTATCTTTGATTAACTACTTTGAACTCACTTAAACATATTATTGTAATGGACGCAAATTTAATGCTTTACTGTATTTTACATATTTCTTTCCTGTTTATTTTTTATTTATTAATCCAAAGGGACAATTTGCTCAAAAGGACTATTAATTTAGATTTTGCATTCTGCGTTGATTCACTTTTTAAAATGTTGCCACCAAATATTAGAGCCCTGTATTATATTTAAAGAAATTAAATAACGAAGAATCTGCATAAATGTATGCATGTTTTTGCATTGTGATAAAACAACTGTACCTAGACAACAACAACTGTTGTAAAACCACTGTATCAAATTTTAATTAACGTACGTTTCTACACGAATACAGGCATGTGGAGGCCCAAATTTGGAATTTGTTTTATTATCTATTTCATATTTTGTAAAACTTTAACGAATTTTTTATTAAGAAACTCAGCGATTTCAAAGCGAGCAGTAGGAACGGTGTACTAAAAAAAAAAAAAAAAAAAAAAAAGAAAAGTAATAATCTCCAGCGCGCGAGACTGGGTATTGGAAATTTTAAATATATGGTATAAGGTATTTCTCCCGCCTTCTTAGCATGCCCTCGTGGTGTAATGGTCAGCACGCGCGGCGCGTATTCGAGAGGTCAGTGGTTCGAGTCTCGGCGAGGGCATTGCTCATTTTCCATCCCTCCTGCTTCGAAATAACCTAATGTCTCTACAGTGGCGCACGAACTAAAAAAGGGTGGTTGGTGATGATTTTCCTCCACCAGGTTTTGGCGATTGTGCCCCTAATCCCCAGTCGCCCTTTAAAAGGGGGAGTATATGAGGTATTTCCCCCGCCTTTTTAGCATGCCTTCGTGGTGTAGTGGTCAGCACGCGTTCGGCGTGTATTCGAGAGATCCGTGGTTAGTCCCGACGAGGGCATTGTTCATTTTCAATCTCCCCTGCTTCGAAATAAAGTAATGTCTCTGCAATGCTCATTTTAAAATCATATTTCGATATTGCAGATGAGCTGAACTTTATAGTTTAAATGCGAAGAACGTGATATTTAATAAATAAAGGTAACACACAAAACGTTAAAAAAAAAGCCACTCTGGGCGTAATGTAATTATATTTTTATTTATCTATTTGTTTCCTGTATAGTTTGTTTTGTTAATATCTTGTACCGTTTGTCTTGTAAAGTTTTTTTTTTTTTTAATTTCTTGCGTAATTCTAAATTTGTTAATTTTTTGCATGACTTTATTTCTCACAATTTTTTTTTTTTTTTTTACTTATCCTGACTGTGTTACTTAGATTTTCCATCCTGTATTTAAGGAAATGATCAGTAATATATTTACATTTATGAATACATATACAATTTATTCCCTTATAGTAGTTAAGACATCTGTATTATAAGTGCATGAAAATACTGCAAAGGTTTTTTTACTATTATAATTATTTACTATTATAAGCATATTCAAGGACCAAAAGTGGCAGAAAAGACATTATTCAAGAATATAACATTTTGATGAATTTATTAAAATACATTAACGGAATGGATATGAATTTAGTTTTTTTCCCTTTTTATAGTATATTTTTTGAATGAAAGTTTCATTTCATTTATTTCTTAAATTACTTTTTTTTTTCGTGAATTTTGCCTTCGTCTTGTAATTTCTGATAATTTTTAATAATTATTTTATTTCACGCAATCGATTATTTAAAAATGATTTAAGTATTTTGGTATATACTGACAAAAATTGATATTTAGTTACCTATTTAATTTGACATAAAAAATTACTTACCTTTGATAACAAACTATTTTTTATTATTTTTATAGAGTGTACCGGTGTATCCATTTTTAAGCTCTGAAAAGTATCACGATTTTTTTCAAAAATAAACATTTTTCAACTGGAGCAAGGTTTTATTCCCCAGCGAAAAAATTTTCACCGCCTTTCAAATAGCTTCACTTAGTTGCGCACTGACATGTGAACTGTCATAAAATTTTTATCTTTCTTACATCAATTTTCAGATGAATTATACTAATAAATTTTTTTGGCTTTATAACCTGTAGCTAAATTGATTTACATTTCAGAATGGGAGTTGCCCTTCAGGCTGGTGGCGTATCTCACGGTCACAGCCACGGTGGATCTGAAACGAAAAAGCACGGCCATCAGCATGAAGCATCCGGGAAAGACAATATAAACGTCCGTGCTGCATTTATACATGTCATCGGCGATTTTATCCAAAGTCTTGGCGTACTTATTGCTGCACTTGTCATTTATTATAAGGTACGCATGAAGTGAATTCAGTATTTTTAGTCTTACTCTAGAAGTATATTTTGATGTTTCATGATATGCAGTTGATTTCTGCCTTTAGTATTGCTGAGGCTATTTATGATGCATCAGTCTTGACTAAAGTGAATTGAAAAGCAGCCTGTCCAATTTAATAAATTTTAAGTTTGTTTCCCTCTACCAACGAAGGAGCCAACCTTATTGATGTTAATACGTTTTTAGCACTAGATCGATCTAGGAAACATATCTGGTGTTCCTCTTATTTATGAGTCTCAGTGCTGTATTATTCAAATGCAGAATAAAAAAATTTCTATTGGAAGGCATATTTCTAAGCAGATTGCCTTCGAGTGTTTTGCTGCAATTAAGTAGTATTCCAACCATATTAAAATAAGAGGAAAAGTGAACTTATTAGAATTCCAAGTGGAAGTGGATGTGATACCAATTTTTACTTCTATTAGAGGAAAGTTTAAATGGAAGCTCTCGTGGAGTATAACTTTAATACCAGAGGTTGCATTTTTTTCAGGAGCTTGAAATTATTTCAAATTTTATTTAAATTAGCATAGAATGGAGTTTGAATTTGCAGCGGCGTATTAGACGTACTGACTTCAAACACTGAGAATTATAGCATATAAATAGGAGATTTATGAAGCTAACAGCTTGAACTCGTCTGGCTAATGTGGCTCGTCTGGCTGTTACCAATACAGCAGGTATTTCTGATGTACGAAGTCGTATCTGGGTGACATAAATATATCAAGAAAAATGAACTTCGTTCCTTCGTTGTAATCGCAGTAAGAGATAATTAACCAGAAAGGATTCTAAAGAACTCTTATCCAAAAAAATTAAAACAATGCTATTTAAGTTTTCGCAGACTTTTGATAGTCTCCAGACTTCGTGTTTTCTAAAGAAATGCAACCCTACTACTGGCCGAGTGGTTAAGACTGCTGAATACTGGGAGTTCGACCCTAAGCCAACGAGCTATCTGCATGGCTGGCTTTCGTGGTTTTGCCTTGTGTAATGTGAATAGGAGCTAGTTCTTCTTAGAAAATTTTCCACGAAGGCATCTCTTCCCTTGGACAGATAGCGCTTTTTATGTCATGTCATTCAATTAACCTAACCTAAACTTTTGGAAGAACTATGTTTTGGGAGTTTTAAAAACTCGAATAATACACACTGCAAACTATGCCTCTTTCATCGATGAATCAAACTTCATTACTTTTTCCCCTTTTAGTAGAGATTATACGTGGAAAAGTCTTCAAAGGCATATAATGCGGACTCCAGAATGAAGCATTAATGTGAATTGGTGATGGCTTGCGTCACAGTATCGTAAAAATCTCTCAGAACACGGATTGTTTCTGACATCCATATCGCTGCCAATGAATATCGATGTATTCTAAAAGGACTAATTAACCTAGTTCTCAAACGCATTCCAAAGGAGGTGTCATGTATCAGAATGCAAGTTCACATTGCAAAGATAATGATAAAGTAATATGGAGAAAAATGAATTCGTTGACTTTAATACGTACATCTACTATGTCCTGCACAATCTTCTGATTCCAAAACCATTGAACGTGCTTGGGATATGCTAGAGAACAACTTGAAACCAACGTGTTCCACTTCCATCATCATGAAGTGGAATAACCGCTGGAAGAGCAAAGGCTAAAATTACTGTTAATGATTGTGCAACTTGCATCGGTCATTTTTAAGAACACTCGTTTCAATATCGGCCACCAAGAGACCTTCTTAATAAAGTATTATATTCTAGGTATAAGTGTTTCAGATATTTTCATGATTTCTTTATCATTATAAAGGGAATCGCATCAGTTCCTTGGATTAGCTAATGTTTAGATGAGAAATATGACCTTTTCGTGAAGAATCTGGCTCTTATCAACATGAAAAAAAATGTCATTTATATCCCAAACCGTTTCATAAATATGTCGAGATCTTTCTCTATCCGTGCCTCAAATATTTACTTAAAATTCCGCCGCTAAGATAGATTAAATTTATTAATCTCAAACACAGTACACACAAAATTCATAGCAAACTTATCTGATAGCCGTTGAAAAGGAAATCGCTGCTAATATTTTCCGAAAGAAGAAAGACTGTTGATTTGAGTTGTAATCAGGAGACGAATTGAGAAATTTGAGGGATCATAAGTATTTTGGTACTTCACCAATATAACACTTGCTTCAGTTTACTGATCCTAAGCCAAAAGTCGCATGGAAGCTGCCTATATGCAATAAACTACATCTCGATTTGACTAAGCGCACGGAAGTAAATAAAATAGATGCGCGAATATCCAACGAAAACGCAAAATTTATGGTCTTGCTTTTAGTATGAATACCTCAGTAAAATTAATAAAAAGTAAGCAAAAGTTACAAAGTAAGTTAAGATTAAGTTATGTACAAAATATAACAACAGAATTTTAAATTAAAATTTATTGTAGGTAATTAAAATTCATTTTAGGTGAGGAATTGTTCAAAAAAGAAATGTGATATTAAAATCTACGTATCTTTACAAAAACAAAAACAAAAAAACACTCCAAATTTCTTTCTCCATTTAAGGTTGGATATTCCGTTAAAAATATAATGCTTGTTATTAAATTTGGCCTTTTGTGTTTGTAATAAAGTTGTGGTTTTGCTGAAACACGTAAATAAAAATAAAGCACGCAATAAAAGCTCATCAAAATAAGTTTTAATTTTACTAGACTTGCACAATGTTTGATATTATTGATGCAAACAGGGCAGGCAGAGTATCGGGTATCTAGAATCCGTATAGACAATTGAATTTCCAGGTATTTGGAATCCGATGATTGCAATACTATCGTAAATAATTTGAAAACTGTTTACTCTGTGCAAATGGATTCCAGTTTTCGAAAATATCTTCACAGTTTTATGTGACAACGGGTAGATCGCATTCGACTGCACATTAGTGCAAAGTCTTGCCTTTTTAAGACAGTTACTGATAGTTTGTGCCTTTACTGATGTTACTTTATTTGAATCTCAAGCAAATTGGGACTACTAAACTACTTCAGTTTCAAAAAAGATTCCTTGAAAAATTTAGAATTGAAAAAAGTTATTTTTGTGAGTTTTCTAGAGAGTTTTCTTATTTTTTCTTTTGAAAAAAAACTCGCTAAATAAAAAATCATAAATCTAGATTTGCTAAATCAAGATTTTGACGGTTTATATGTTTTACATTATAAGTTCATATATATATATATATATATAATACATACTGCTTCTCAGGATGTGGGTGTTTTAATACATTTTCATGTAACAAAAACCTAACCTTTCAATGCAAAGAAATGCACCCATCTCCTGCAGTAGAGAACAGTTTTGATGAACAGGAAGAGCTCTAATCATTTCTGAAGCCAGGACAAAGTCAACTTGTCTAATATTACGCATGATTTAAATTTTGTGAACTAATGTCATTGCTTTTCATACTGAAGACCCTAGGTAGGGTTGAGGTATTAGTAAAATTTTATTCTATAAATATCACTCTATTTTTGTTACAATATAAATTTTGTTGTAATTTCTCGTATAAATAACATGAATATATCTTATATTCATAGTTCTTCCTATTTATTACATGTTTTTATGAGAACTCCTTTCAACATGGGAAAATATTAACTCATACAGACGTAGTCTCTAAACCAGAACCAGAGTTTGAAGAATGTCATTAAACCGATATCCAAACTGAATTTTGGGGACTAAATTTGTAATTAGTTCAAGAGTTATAACTAATCTTTTAATTAGAATGCCATCTTAATTTTTTTTCATTGCCAAGTACTAAAGAGTCCATCAAGCATGCAGGAAATAAATTAAAATTTTATATTAATTTTGATATGCTACGTTGTATGATCTAATTGATTTAATTCATTCATTTACAATTACATAGTTATAAGTTAAATAATTAAAAGTTACTTGTTATTCTTAAAAATAAATTTAATGTTGCTTTGCTTACTGTGCAGAAAAGTAGCGTCACAATGAATTTACGGGTTATAATTTGTAAAAAAAGAAAGTTTTATCAAAAGTAGATTATTTCAAAACATGTGTTTGGTGGAATAATGGTGGAAGCAATAACTCCTCAGAAAACTCAAAATTATGATGTTCAAGGTTATACGAGTAAATAAGAAGCCATAACTAATTTAAAAAGCTGTACTTCATAAAAAATAATTAATATTTTAAGAAATAAGCCCCAAAAAAATCAAATAATCCACTTTACAATGCACAGTCATTAATCTATACACTGATGAGGATTTTTCCTGAAAGCGTCAGATTTGGAATATTTAGCGAAAAACAATAATTTTTTTTTAGCGCACAGAAATTTTTAACTCTGAAATATGTAATGTATTGGCTAACATCCCGATAAACAGCACAGCAAGGAGTACGTTAAAATTTATTACATGACAATGTATTGAAAATATAAGTATCTCTAGTTGTCTCAACAAGTCCCATTTGGAAAGGGACCCATTTGGAATGCATATTCAAAATAACCTTAGTATAAATTGGCACAAAACTCAATTTTTAAACAAATTTAAGTATTAAGTTTTATAGCCAAATTTAAGTATTTGTATCAGTATGCTAGAAATAAATTACTGAAAAAGTTTTCATTGCCGTTTATAGAAAGAATACGCTATAGTGGATCCCATTTGCACGTTTTTCTTCTCCATCCTAGTGCTTATTACAACCTTTGCCATTTTAAGGGAGACTCTCAATGTGTTGATGGAAGGTGAGTGAAATTTATTTCTGATTATGTGCTTGCTTATTTCCATATTTAAAGTATTTCTATCGTTAGATTAATGCATGTGAAAACTTTCATTCACTACAGGTATGCCTAAAGGGATGAATTTCCAAGAAGTGATGAAGCTTATTTACACAATACCAGGTGTGGTGAAAGTGCACAATCTAAGAATTTGGTCTCTAAGTATGGATAAAACAGCTCTGTCTGCTCACCTTGTTATCGGTAAGCAAAACGTAAAACATGTCTCACATTTCCCTTTACCTTTGTATTTTTTCCCTGGGATTCATTTCACGTGCCTGTGATTTCGGCTCTTTTACAAATAGCGGTAAAACTTTGTGCTTCATAAAATTTTAAATATTTTTGTAAAATAAAAAAAAAAAATATCGAACGGTATATAATTAACATCTAGCATTATTAAAAGAAAATCTAACTCCAAAAATATATGTATATCTAATTTTACAATAAAACGTTACGTTTTTTAGAACGATGTTACATGTTTTCAGGACAGAAAGAACTTCTTAAATTAAGCATTTCGAGAAGCCCAATTTGGCTAAAAGTGCCATAAAAATTACATTACAGAGTTTACGGACCAGATTTGAAAATGTGAACAAACGCCGAGATTCCTATCAAATCCATGAATTTTATTTACTTCAAGCTTCTTGTCCCCTCCCCCTCGCACAATATTTTCAGTTTGTTAGTTTGCAACAAGCTTCTGTGGAATTTTTATTATATCAATTTATTGCTTTGTATTTCATTTTGGAAAGGGAAGTCTATTATGAAATCAGTAAGTTATAAACCCCTTTTATTTTTAACACAAACTACTACTGGATTTTTTTTTAATGGCCGGGCGCTTTATTTAATAACTATTAGCCTTGCGCCACTACATGGGCCGGAAGGATTGGCCATTGCATTATGGAAGCATCTAATAGGTGACCACCGTTGCCTCGTATGAAGGGACGGACAGTTACAACCATGCCTTCTCCAGGATTCGAACCCGAGCCCATTGCTACGGCAGTAAGGGGCACTAATCACTATACCAGCTGGGCGGCACTACTACTGGATGTTGCACCAATTAGTGGAAAGTTAGATAAGATAGATGAGCAGTGATAGTTTGACCTGGTATTAAATCATGGCGAACTGTTTGGTTGTTTTGGGTATTCGCTATTTTCGTCTCGTAACATGACTAACAGTCTCTCATAAATTTTCGCATGCCGTGCTTATTTGTCCACTTGTGCACGATATAGTCCTCCCTGAAGGCATCCCCCGGTAACCTTGAATGTGCTTTGCCACCGTGATCAGTTAACCATCCAGTATGTGAAGTAATCTGTGCTGCAATTATTATATCATGAATTGAATTAGCTATTAATTATTGTGATCATACTAGTTTTGAATGGTATCCTGTTATAAAATAATGTAACGTTTATCCTTCTACTGGCACAGTTTTGTTTACAGAAGACGGACTCGAAACAATAAGGAATTAAATACAAAACATACTTTTTACAAGCACTAGGTAAAATGAAACATGGAACAAGCAGATCGGCCTCCCCTCTTTAAAAAATTATCTTTTAACAAAAATTTATTTTCCAAAGATTTCTAGGTTTCAGATGTAACAGAATGTCCTAGTGATAAAGAACAGAAAATTCCTTAAAACTTGTCAAATGATACTTCTCAACAATAATTATTTAATACCTTACTTATAGAGAAGGTAATAATTTTGCCAGGCGAACGGAGGAATATCTAGGAAGAAAAATTATTAAAGACTACTACTTCTGAAAATTAATAATTTTATTTAGCTTAAAATGTATATTTAAATAAAGTTTGCGAACTGTTATAAATGCTTTCGACATTCCTGTAGCTGAAAACGTGAACAGATATTGTACAATAAACAAATATTATCCTATCATTATTTGAAGCATTTTCGATTGATGTAAGCTATCATAGTAATCATGATGTTCAGTCGGCATAAACGTTTCATATCCCGAAGATGTATTTTGCTACTGAAAATAGAATAAGAGCAAAGTAAATGTGTTTTTAATATTCCAACATGTTTGGTTATTTGAGTATGGCAATGCACACGAGGGCCCTCTACTTAATAGTGGAATGCCTTCGTGAAGACTTTCTAAGGAAAACTGGCTCGTATTCACATTAGGAAAATCACAAAAACCAAGCATGCAGCCAGCCTGTTTGCTTGGAATCTAACTCGAGTCGAACTCCCAATGTTCAGCGGTCTTAACCGCTTTTCAACTGTTGCCCAACATGTTGGGAATTAGGTGTTTGCCATTTTGAGGAAGTTGTGAGTTTCACTGTTTGCTATATCCATTGCGAAATACTGCGCAGTTATATAAAGGAACAGTATGAAACTATCACAGACATTATTTCTGCACTCCTCCCCCTTTTGTGTGTATGTGTCAAAAAGGCACTGACAGAAGATGAATGAATGGAATAAATCATTCTCATTTTAGTTTTTGAACATATCTGCATTCAACTACATGCTCGACTTTCCTTTGCTTGGAAACAATTTCACCTTGATGAGTTAAATTGATTCTCGCCAAATAAACTGAAATCCTTATCTCACTGTTCCACTAGCGACTGAGTGGTTAAAACCGTTGAATACAGTTACTTCGACCCTAGGCGAACGCATTGACTGCAGGGTTTTCCCCATGTGTAGCGTGAATATATAAGCCCATTTTCCCTTATGAAGTCTTCCATGAAGGCATCCTTAGGTAGATAGCCCTCGCGTGCTTTGCCATATTTAAATTCATCTTAATATATCACACTGTTTATTTGTTTCCTTATACGAAGCAGGATCCTTATACGTCCCAGATAGGAAACCAGAGTTGTTATAATTCGACCATCTTAAACGCAACCTTGGCTGGCATTCTGCCAAAACACATAGAATCGTCCAAAAGGGGCGTTAGTTTTGTTCCGCGAGGTAAGAGGTCACCTGAAAGTTCTCTCTTCGCTGGAAAAAGGGAAAGTCCCCATATCATCGGGTGACGCTGTCGTCAATTGTCTTTCGCGCCTTTGGGTTTTTTTTTCCTTTTAATTACAGAAATAAATGCCAAGATTAGCATTGCTTTGCAACCCAGAAACCAATAATGTTAATTTTTTTAAATTATTTATGAATTTTATATGAACAATCTGTATTTCATTGCTTATTTTCAAAGATAAGGTCACTAAAAATCATGGAGCTATATTCTTTAGCGAAAGTATTCTTTTTGTAGTGAAAAAGGAAACCGTGCAATAGATTTCCAGGGTATCAACATAGGTTACTTAAAAGCAATTTTGTTTCCTTATGTCTGTGCCGTTTTAACACCGTGGAAAAAAACGGGTGGTGGGAAGAACAGAAAAAATCCCTACGATATGATTTCACTCTGAGTCCATCCACCCTATTTTGAGAATAAATCAGTCCAAATGGCGCATGCTCAGTGTCGCGGCTAAGGCGGTCGAACTATACTAATTTCACTTGTCTGGATGTAATCAGATCAAGCCCATAAATCATTATCGTGGCAAGGAGTACAAGACTGCGTCTGTCGTTATCCAGAGCCTTGAACACCATACAGATGACAGTCCGACTTATACTCAGTTCAGCCTTAATTTTGAAGAGCACCCAGGGTGGGCGGACAAGGCTCTCCCTCCCCTCTTCTTCACGTACCACTGCTTCTCGAAAGGACTTTCGGCACTTCACATATTTTGAGTGACCCATGCTGCAGAGACTCTAATCCATACCTTCTCCGAGACTCGAACCCTTCAGTACGGCAAGCAGCCTCGCTAACAACTTTCCCGTCTGGGGCGGCTAGGAAAGCACAGCAACTTCTGTTAATGAACTCGCGTAATTGAGTCTTGATCCTTCTTACTAGAAAAGTAACATTAATAACAGTTTCATTTCGAAAATGCAAGCAAGTTAATTTTCTAGTTATTTCCTCGAATTATCTTAGCAGATATGGATTGTATTTAATTTATATTATAAATTAGTATTATATTAGTGTGCGATATTAATATTCTATTCTTTAACTAAATTAAATTCGTATAGTTCAAAGGCCTTTCAGAATGAATTTTAATGCAGTTAGACTTCACAGTAGTTCCTAATCGTAAACAATCAATAACAGTGCACAGTGAATCGATGTGCCAGAAATGGCACCTGCTTAGTATGATGAAAAAATAATACTAATTAATTTTATTCTAATTTTTTTCTTCACGCAATTTACCGTAAATTTAGAGTCGTTATTATCATGACACGAATAAAAATTCTTCTTAAATTGTAAATAATATTTTATTTATTCTTTTACAAAAATGCTTCCCTTCCTTTTCTTGTGTGATTCTTTTAAGATATATTGCACATCAATTAACCAATCAACTTCCGTTAATGAGACATTGATTCATAAGTTAAAAGTGATTTATAGTAATAGCAGTAAAAATTTCTGAATTTGGGCATTTACCAATAAATATTAAATCCTTTCTAAGATTTTTGATGCAGTTAGACTTCACAGTAGTTCCTAATCGTAAACAATCAATGACAGTGCACAGTGAATTGATGTGCTAGAAATGGCATCTGCTTAATATGATGAACAAATAATATTAATTAATTTTCTACTAAAATTTTTCTTCACGCAATTTACCGTAAATTTAGAGTCGTTATTACCATGACACGAATGAAAATCCTTCTTAAATTATAAATAACATTTTATTTTTCTACAAAAACTTCTCCCTTCCTTTTATTGTGTGATTCTTTTAAGATCTATTGCACATCAATTAACCAATCAACTTCCATTCATGAGACATTGATTCGTAGGTTAAAAGTGATTAATTGTAATAGCAGTGAAAATTTCTGAATTTTGGTATTTAATCCTTCTTAAGATTTATTTCCGAATTCAATACTAAAATAGAAATCTGGGAGTTTATTTATGCAGAACGTGTTGAACAATATTGTCGAAAATGCTGTGTACACAAGCAAACCTTTGTCATAATTGAAAATTAACCATTTTCATTGTTGAATCGCAATGTGCTGCGATCAAGAGCAGAGCTAAAAAGTCTCAAAAGATCATTCAGCTATTAATGTAAATTATTTCAGTTTAAATATGTTGTAATAAGTGCTTTTACTTTATATAAATGCGGAAACTTACTTTTAACTTTAATTTCTAAAATTAGTTACCATGGGTTATCCGGAAAAGTGTTATACAAAATGCCTTAATCCGAATTTTTTCGGATTAGTGGAATTCTACTTACTTCACAAGTGTTAATAAAATTTAATTAAAATAAGAATTAAGAAGATTAAAAAGCTGAATCAAAATAAGTCGGAAGCTTAAAAAATAGAATTAAAACAAGAGCACAGAAACTGGACTAAAATATAAAATCTTAAAATCATAGGAGAAAAATGTTTGAATTTTAACAAATTCAGATATTCTTATTAATTCGAATTCGTTCTGGTATCGCTTAAAACATTTTGGATAACGGAATTATTTAATTGTAGATTGATGTTAAAACTTTATATTTTTCATTTATAGCATCAGGGGAAAATCCGATTACTATTTTAAAGAAGGCATCGAGCATCATTAGAAGAGATCTAGGTGTCTTTGATTTGACGCTGCAAGTGGAGGAATACAGAGAAGACATGCAGGACTGCACTAAATGCAAAGAACCAAAAGACTGAAGAACTTATGTGTGTTTTTGCTGGTGGCAAACACGCATTTTATTCAGAAAATATGGAAAAATTAATGAAATGTGCCGCATAAAATTTATATACGATATCGGCGCTTTTCTCAAACACGCTATTACTCTTCCCGTGCATTCTGGGAATATGACTCTTTACTCTGCAAAGAAGGAAAAGAAGAAAACCCTTCGAATTGTATTTTTAAAGACCCCATTAAAAAAGTTAAGTAAAAGTGAACGCAATTTTCTTATGAAATAAGAAAATGTATTTAGTCATCGTTGTAGCCTAGAAATTGTGAAAGGCTTAGATTTGAGCTCTTATCATACATAAAAAACTAGTCTAAAGATCTCGCTCTACATTGTTAGTAACAGTACCGTCCAGAAATATGCATTAATAAAAACTGCAGGTCTTTTGCATAATTTTAAATGCTTTAACTTGCCAAACAGTTTATGCAGGGAAATGTTGCTCTAAAATCTAAAATGTGATAAAAGATTTGTCATAAAATAGAAATAGGTTTATTATCTGTAACTTTCTGCAATAAAAAGAGATTTTGTAAATTTAAATCAAATATTCAACCTTTCATAAAAATCTCTCAAATTCTAAATATCAAATGTCTGGAGATTCCTTCTGTAATTTTAAATTGCAATGATAATATACAGTTCATTTGTTCGTCTTAGTATGGTATAAATATCACTTATTAGCTTAACATGTACGAACAAATGAACTATATATTATCATTACAATTTAAAATTACAGAAGGAATCTCCAGACATTTGATATTTAGAATTTTAGAGATTTTTATGAAAGGTTGAATATTTGATTTAAATTTACAAAATCTCTTAAAATATTAATATGTAGAATATTTTCGTAAATTTGGTTTACGCCAAATAATTTTCATTAAATTACGTTGCAATTAGTATTAGAAAGATCCCATGTACCTATTTAATGTATTTTATTATGTGTCTTAATTTTATGATTATCTTTGTTACTTACACATTTTATGAGGATTTAGAATAAGATTTATTCGGGGATGTTTGAAGTTATTTTGGCTGAAATGAAGAGAACATAATTTAATAGCGCATACGCATTTAAAAATTTCTGTCTTTACTTCTTTATATAAGTATGGTATTTAAGTCTGGTAAACTTATTGTAATAGACGATTAAATTTATTTTTCAAGTTATTCAGCTACTTGCCTTCTTTCCTAAACAATGATACATTTTTTCCTGATATCTAATTGTACGTTTCTTAACGAATGTTCAAAAGATATTCTAGTCTTAGCATGAGTAGATGTTAGCTACTCATATTAATACTGGTTAACATATGTTTGTTTTAGTTACTGACATACGTAAGTATCACAAATAAATGTTAAAGCAATTATGAATAAAAGATATTCCATTTGATGCATATTGTTACTGCCTTTTTCTATGAATTGAAATTTTCAAGTTTAAATAAATTAGACAGTTGCGTTAAATTATTTTTAACATTTTACCTGATCTCTGTCTGTGTTTATTAATTAATTATGCTGACTGTCTTAACAGTATTGTGTTTTAAAATTTAACTGCTCTTTTTTATTGCATTAAAATAATGAAAACATCTCAAAGGTACGGATATAGATTATTTTAAAGTTTGAATGTTGCAGGATACCCAACATGAATTCCGACGAGGTAAGTGACGAACATAACAGGTTCAATTTATTTTTACTTCAGACGTAACAAAATGTGAATATTCTACATGTGAAGATGGATGATGAACGCACAAACATATGCGACCATGGGAAACAGTTCATTTAACGATTCTTGTGCCATAGAAAAACTGGTGGTAGCCTTGTTGACGATAACTTTACAGCGTTAAAAGAAACAGATCACGGAGAGTAAATAGCTTGGCAAGTGAAGAGAAAAGACATCTTGAAATTTTCCCATCTGTGCTGAGCTTCTTGATTGCTATCTTAAAATTTAAATGGCAATATAAGCTAATAAACGATTTTCTTTAAACTTTCGGGGAGTAGTAACAGGCTATTGTGTTCTTAAACGCTATAAGGGCTATGGTATTCTGCCTCCTTATGCACCCCAACAGTGGCCGAAATACTACACTGGTTATCATAAATTAAGCAGAAACACAAAAAATCACGATTACTGAAAAAGTTAGATGTAGAATTTTATGAAACTTACCCATAGTATATACAACACGTAGTTAGGCATCAAATAACATAAAAAGAAATTACCAGACAATTATGGTAGTATAGAAATTAGCACATGTATAAAATGAACAAATCGAAGGTGTCAGTTTGCTGTAGGAAAAGTACCTGCAATATGAAATATGATCGCCTCTAGAAGCAATACAGCAATGTGTGATGCTTTCAATTATGCGGTCTATCAGTTCCATAGGAAGCAAAATCCATTGCTCTTGCAAGCGTGGCAAGGATCTCGGGGGGGGGCCAAGGATCTGAGGGAGCAGGATTGAGACGTCTCGCTAAAGACATCCTCTAAAGCGTTCTCGATAGGATTGCAAGTCGGGGATCGAGCTGGCCATCCATGCCCATAATTTTTCCTGTTGAAGATAATCATCTACGATACGAGCCCTGTGTGATCTTGCGTTGTCGTCCTGTAACAGGAAAGCATTACCTATTGCCCCGGCACATGGGCGCATACAAGCATCAAGGATATCTTCTTCATAAACCGGAGCATTCACGATTTCCGTTGGAAAGACATGGAGGTCTGTGCGTCCACCCAAAAAGATGCTACCCCAAACACAGACACTGCATCTCTTTCACGGATGTTTGATGGCTGATAACGGGTTCCAGGTTCTCTCCATTCAAATAACGCCTAGTATCTCTTTCTAGACTAAACCTGAACTCATCCGTATAATGAAAAGCCCTCCATTGATCAGGCGTCCAGTGAACATGTTGTCGTGCCCATTGCAAACGGTCCCTCCTAGGGCGTGACGTGAGCGGCACGCGAATGGCTGGTCGCCTCGCCTACAGACCACCTTCGTGAAGCCTTCTACGCACTGTTGACATTGACACCAGCCTTCCGGTGGCTGCAGCAACGGAGGATCTAAGAAGAGTCGGACTAGCGGTTCTATTCCTGCGTGCACAAATGTCAAATATCAGTCATCGGCGCTCGTCGTAGCAGTTGGCTGTGCTTGGCTGAACCTCCTAGACGCCGAATCTGTGGTTTGAAATTGCCTCCAAAGTCTGAACCACAGAAGGACTCGCATTTGGCCATCTGGTCACTTCTGTTTGACTTTGTCCTGCCTCTAGTCTCTAAATGGCTCTCCATCGTAGTTCAAGCAGGCAAATGATGCTTGGAAGTCATTGTTACGAATTGGCTATCTCAGATTTCTGATGTCACTATCATAGTGAAATATGTCAGCTTGCTCTCAAACATGGACTTTTATGCTCCTCGTAGATGACGTATTCCGAGTGCAGCGCCACTAACTTGCATATTCCAGGTTTACTTAGCTACTCTTATTTGGCAACATATTCAAATTTGACACGGTTTGGCTTATTTTTGAGGGAGTTATCCCTATTTTTGTGATTTTTCCTTAATTTATGATAGCCAGTGTAGTTCCGCTGAACCGAAATACTAGACCGCTGAATACTAGTTCAACCCGGCTCGAATCCAGGCGAACGGACTGGCTGAGTGGTTGACTTTGTGTAATGTGAAAACCACCCATTTCGCATAAGTTCTTCATGAAGGCATTCTTCCCCTTAGGCAGATAGCCCTCAAATACTACTTTGTCATTGGTAAATACCTAACATAACCTGCAAAATGCTTCAAATCGTAGATCTGTAGAATGCAACTTTTCCCCACTATGCGTTTCACTTTCAGGTCTACAAATGGCCGAATATAAATGCCACAGAAAACGGTTGTACGCTACAGGAAGTTGGTACGCTACAGGAAGGAGCTAGCGCAATACAAAAAGCAAATCAAGGCAGCGAAACAAGAGTCATGGCGTAAGCACTGCAGTAACATGCAAGCAACCTATGGTACATTACAGAAAATGGCCACAAATAAGGTTTTTTCAACCCCTACAACTTACCGCTAAAGTAAAACAAGATGCAAAAGACCAGATGGAATTTGATTTCGTAACTCACAGAGAAATAAGGCAGAAGTTTAATAGGAAAAGCTGGAAAAGCAGCAATAGAGATATTACTCTTCCTTCAGACCACGAAGTTCATAATATCATCAAAGCCTTAGCAGACAAAAAAGCACCAGGTCCCAATGGCATAGATAATATCATTGTTAAAGAAATTCACAAAGAATTCCCAGGTTTGTTTCCAAAACTATGCAGAGCCTGCTGGCGACTCGGCCACTTCCCTAGAAGCATGAAACTAGCCGATATTGCACTCTTTCACAAGCAGGGCAAAGATACGTCAGATCCGGCATCTTATAGGCCCATAAGCTTACTGCCTTCAATCAGTAAGATTTTAGAAAAAGTAATTCTGCAACGCCTTAATTTCCACATGTGCAGGAACAAGTCTATAAACGAAAAACAATATGGCTTCTGCGCAGGAAAAGGAAAGTCCACAGATAATGCCTTAAAACAACTGCTAGATAACATAGAGCAGAACAAGGACAACAATATGGACACACTGGTTATTTCGTTGGACATCAATGGGGCATTCGACTCGTTGTGGTGGCCAGACGTAGTCGAATGCCTAGACATCATCAAATGCCCAAAGGAAATCCTGAATCTTATACGCAGCTACTTGCAGGATCGTTGGATACAGGTTACAACGGACAATGATGTACTCAAAGTCAAGTTGGAAAGAGGCTGTCCCCAGGGTTCCTGCTTGGGGCCTACACTTTGGAATCTTGTAGGGAGCACAGCCTTTGATCTCTGTGACCAACAGCAAGGAGTGGGTATCCAGACGTACGCAGACGACTTTTTATTGGTCATTTCTGGTAGCACGGACATTAGGTTAAAGGCAAAAAACGCAATCAATACTTTTAGCTGAGCAAATCAGCACAAATTAAACATCTCAGCAGATAAAACTAAACAACTGTTTCTATGTAAGCATGGAGCGCAAAATAGGATTCCCAACATTAAGCTAAATGGAGTCTCTATAAAAAAGGTCACTGACCTTAAATATCTAGGTATTATATTTAACAATAGGCTTTCCTGAGTACCACATATTAAAGAGCTTAAGCAGAAAATAAATCAACTTGGTAATTCCATGGTTAGAACATCAGGACCTTATTGGGGCACTCCAATCACTATGCTCAAAAGTT